TGCTGATGTGAAGATCTGTCCTTCTTGCAGCCAGTCATTGCCTGGTGTGCTGGCAGGAAACTGATGCCGTCCCAAATGGCCTTAAAACCAGCAGAGCACACCTTGATGAGTTGTCTGCACAAGTCTCCTGGTGAGCATGTAGACTATCTTGACTCTGGTATGTTGCTTGATACTTGTGTCTGCTCAACTATGACTCTCAGTTCCTAACCCTGGTGTCACCTGTGACTTCCTAGTTCTGGCTCCCTCTTCCTGACCACATCTTTGGTAACTTGACTCTGGCTTGACCAGTGGCTCTAGACTATGGCTGTGAATCTCTCCTGACCCTTGGTTCTGGACTTAAATTCCTAAGTCCGGGCCTAACCACTAGGCATGACTGTCCATGACCTTGACATCACACCTAGTTCCTTTAGCCTTTCCTTGTATAGCTTACCTTCCAATCATTGTCATACTCATTGCTCTCCTATGTTATATCTCCAATTTCTTTACATCCTTCTAACAAAGTAGTGCCCAAAATTGGGCAGAACACTTTTTAATAGAGGCCTAACCAGCACTGAGCAGAACTGTAGTATCTCCTCCTGTGTCTTGCAGATGCTGCTTCTGTGAATCCAACCCAAAACTGCATTTGTCTTTCTTGTGACAACATCACATTGCTGGTTCAGTTGTTATCTATTGCAACCCCAAGACACTTCCTGGTAGAGCTCCTGCTAAGTTGTTTATCCTCCGTTCTGGATTTGGGCAGTTGTTTTTTTCTGCTCTGTGCAGCACCTTACATTCATCTTTGGATTTCACATTATTTATTGCTCCCTTTTTCAGATGCTTTTGAATCTTAATTCTGACCCTCTAGTATATTGTCAGTGCCTCCCACTTTTGTGTCGCCTACAAGCTTGGTGATTTTACTCTCTGCCCCATGCAACTCAACGAGACTAAATGCTATGCAAATCAGGTCTGATTTGGCTTCTCTCAGATGACGGGGTTAATAGGACATTTTCTAGTTCAGCCATGAGTTTTGTAGAAGACCATTTTGGACTTATGTGATGCAGCATTTCTCCAGGTATAATGGACTAGAATTTGACTCCTCCTCTCAAAGGCATTCTTAGACAGGGTAACATAATGAAATAGCATTTGCCCAATACCGAATAGCATCCATACTCAGGAAAGCCATAGGAGTCTGCTGTAATGAACTAGGTCATAGGTGGTCTTGCCTAGTGGTTAGAGAAGGTAGGAGCCAGGCATGTAGTCTAAAACATGGACTGATTTAGGAGCCAAGTTACTAGATCCAAGGAAAAATCCACAAACTGAAGTCTAAGAACAGAACCAAGCAGGGTCAGGAACCAGGAAAGTCAGAGAGGTTTACCAAAGCTGACCTTAACCAGAACTATTGGCTGCCTGGAGTCTGTTACCACAGCTGGAACTAAATGGAGAAGTGGCTCTCCCAGCAGCCAGTCAGGAAGCTCAGGCTGTGGCCAGTTGGAGTCATTAGCTGGGTTGGGGTTGCCAGCCAAACCCCCAGGCAGATGTGGGCCATTAGGCAATCAGCCCAGGCTGGGCTGCCTTAGGGCCCCCAACAACTGCAAGTACTTTCTTGAATTAAGATTTAAATAATTTCTTTGCTGATTGGGGGGTGGACTTAAGCACCTACAATAAAACATATGATAAACTACTCTGCTCTTTGTGGCCTTGAAGTGGATTGTAAAGCTGTAAACATATCCTCAGAAAGGTTTACCATTATTACACTATTTAAAATGGAAAATACAGCTTTCCACAAGGCAAGGAATTGAGTCCTACCAAGGGTCCATACAAAGTAGCTCTATAGTTATTTCAACAGATTGGCTGATTTAACCCTAATCTAACACTTTGCTAATGTAGTTTCAAAATAGTACGCCCATCATGACTGCTTATTGTAATAATTATTTGCTTACTTTTTGTGGCTCCCGGGGCCTCACTGCACTAGTTTTTGGGGGCGTAACCTTTAAGAGTTCAGCCTGCTTTTTACGCTCCATAGTTTTTTCTGTAATCTTTTTCTGCAGATTTAAAACACGCTCACTTTTCACAGGTCCTTCACTGAACCGCGACTTAATTTTCTTTTCTTCTTGCCTGCAAGATCAAAAATAAAAGGTAAAAGGGAGACAAAGCCATATGGATAATATTGATACAATAAATCCAATCCTGATTATTTGGAATAAAAATATCTTACTTTGTAAACCATTCATTAGCTTTTGTACCGCTTGGGACCAGCTAAATTCAAATTAGGTCTAAATGATAAATGGAAATGAATAGTTTAAGTCACATCTTCAGTTTGGAAAAAAAATCTCTTCTTGCTAGATAGCAGGATTAGTATATCTAGGGCACTGCAAGCCAGGCCTGGTATTGTTTAGGCAAAATGGGGCTAGCTCCTGTCTCAATATTGTAGCCATTATCTAGACAGTGCGATCAGTTTTTCATTAAATTTCACCCCAATGGGTTTCTTTGTAGCTAAAGTATATTCCTTTTCATGTACTCTCAGTAGACCAAATTCAGAGTGGTCACTAGTGGTGAATAGTGTGAAGTGTGAAGTGGGTTTAGGTGAGCATAATCTGATAGAAAAGTGCAGCAATAATATTAACAAACAAGTGCAACAAAAACTAAGGTAACTTATACTTTGTTGCTAGTCTTCTACCCTTTTGGAGAGCAAATTTTACCAGTTTATGCTTGCTGACATCTAACAACCTCAATTGACTAATGGCCCTTGTCACATAGGTTATACCAACTTACATTTACACTTATACTAGCTTACTGATACGCAACTTGCACTTTTATTTATATTGTCTCTGAATTGTAGCAAGTATTATTAACCCATATTTTTAAGCACTGCAATCATTTTATAAAAAAACCTATGCCTCTCAGGCCATGTTCAGACATAAAGTGATTGGATGCAGCTCTGCTGAAGCCAAAGGTACTGATTACAGCCAGTCTGATATGGCTTCTCTCAGCTGACAGGGCTAATAGGACACTTTCTAATTCAGTCCTGAGTTTTGTAGAAGGCCATTTTGGATTTATGTGATACAGCATTTCTCCGTAATTGGTTTTACTGAAATTTTAACAAGATTCTTATTGATTTCTCTAGGTAGTGTGTTGCTTGGGGCATTGCTGGGCTGATATGAATTGTCTCTATTACTAAGACAGTGGCAGGCTAAATTTCCAAGGGCCACTCCTTGGAATTGTTTATTATGACAGAAACCTCCCTCCCCTGGGTCTAAGTCCTCAATCTTTTTAGCATAACCCAGACTCCTCTGAGGGTAAGCATCAATGTCAAACAAAGAAGCAAGGTATTTTGGTGATATCTTTTATTGAACCAACTGTATAGCTGGGAGAGACATTAGATAAGCTTTTAGCTAAAAGATTTTGGGCATAAAGTGCTCTTCTTCAGGTGTGCCTAAATACTTGCCTAACATCTCTCCCAGCTATAGAGGTTGCCCAATAAGAAATGTCACCAAAATAACCTTGCTCCTCACATATTTCCGGGACCATCCTGACTACAACAACACTTCAGCCTCACTAAAACAACGGGCCGCCTCCTCAGGGCTGTTTTTGCTCCAAGTGCTGAAGTCACAGAGTCACTCAGAAGATCTGTTAGGGTCTGGGGCACTCCTGTTTCCTGGAGAGGATATTTCTGGTCCATTCTGGCCCTTGCAGATCTTGAGTCTTTCTGAGGGCAGGAAACTCTTATATAGCCGAGCCCCTTCACAGAAAGCATTACTGGAATCCTGGACTTCAGTCTCAGCAAACCCAAAAGCCAAATTAAGAGGTAGGTTTGATGTATACAATTTCTGAAATCGGATCTTAACCCCTAAGTAAACATAATTGTTTAGACTTTCAGTGCAGACAGAAGTGCAGCTCCCAGTTGTAACGCAGAAGGATTTTTGGAAAGCGTTCTGAGTTACAACGTTACCCCAGACCAAACACAAGTTCACTGTTGGTTCCAGGGGAGAGGGGAACCTAGTTGCAGCCAGCTAGGATGGCCAGGGCTCTCGGCCAGTGCTTGCTGTTTTCTGAATGGGAGTGGGGAAAGGCAGTGGAGGGAGCTCATTCTTGGGGCTCCCCAGCTGGTGCTGAAGGGTGGGGTGGGTGAACTGGAGCTCCCCCCACCTTGGGGTGGGGGTTGCAATACACCCGCCCACCCTCCAGGGGGTGCTGAAAACCCCCCCAGACTGAACTCCCTCTGCTTCCTTTCCTCCCTCCCATTCTGAAACCAGTGACAGGCTGGGAGCTCAGCAGACACAAGTTACAAAAGACACTACATTTTGTAACATTTTTATCTGATATTTTATGCAATGAGGGGCTCAGATTTTCACTCAATCCACAATTTTTTAAGCTGTTTGCAGCTGTGCAATTGTGTTTGGTCACAGCTATAAACTGCTTTCTGTGGCCAGATCAGGTGAAAATTGTCACTTCTGTCTGCACCGTTGGTTTCCAAATTCTTAATTGCCTTCCTTTCCTTAACCTGTTAAATTCCTTACTTCATACAATGCTACATGATTTAGGATAATGCTTCCCTTTCCCAGCCCCAAAAAGCTTTTAACATGTTACAATGAGTAATAATAATATTATTCTGTGGATCTAAAAATTATGCCCTAACATGTAACCTGAGAACCTACCTGCCTTACGTTTGTTTGCATAGTAATGAGACATTGTATTATTTAGAGGTGTCAAGTGAGAACATGCTAATGAGTTTTTCCTGTAAACATTTGATGATCAAACTTAGTGAACAACAAAATCTTTTATTACATGCAAAGGAGACACAGATATTGAAGGGAGGTGAATGGGGACCAAAAAAGAATGTCAAAGTTCTGGTGTTTTGAGACAAGTGGTATAGACCTTCTAGGGCTTGGAGGAAAAAAACTCATGTGCTGTTGGTTTGCCCACTCAGCAATTCTCCAGATGAGCTGAGCTGACACCAGTCTGGAATGGGACCCCAGAAAAATTCTCTGATTAATTCAAAGGAAGAAGCTATGGTAACTCCATCCAGTTTATGAAACTATCTAAAAAGGCTATATTCTGTTTTTAGGCCTGCGGCTGTTTGATTTGGACGCAGGGTAGCTGGCTCTCCCTTCCTTAAGGATGTACGCACTTTTGTTGGCTTATTTCATGCTATAAACTTCATTGCATCATCAGCTCAAGGAACTGAAGGCTTTAAGGTGTTTTGCTTTTGCACTAGTTTCTAAAATACTAAGCATTCAGTCTGAGATGTTCTTCACACCCCTTTTTGGTCCCAAACACAAGTCTTGTGTCATCTTGTGGATAGGGGGTAGGGGAAATGACCTATCAGTTTGGAAAGTGTTTTTCTAACATTGGTTTTTATAAAGGTTTTCTCAACTCTGTGGGGCTCATCACGTATTGGAAACAGCCTGAGAAAGTCCAGTTTTGTTTTGATTTGATGGCCTTGCAGAAAACTACTTTTAAGTACCAGTATTTATACAGGATACAGGTGGGATTCTTAATTGGAAGTTAAAAGATGAATGCTAGTTTGTGGAGGAATAGATATAATCCACACTAAGGCAGGCAGGAAAGGGATTAACTAGGGGTTCACTAAAGCAGAAATGCAAAGAGAAGGCACAGGAAACCTTTCTTCTCTAGGCTTCTAACTGCAACTTGTTCTGATACCACTGGCCGTGTCCACACCTTGTGCCACCGCTAGGTGTCCCGGGGGAACGCCTGTGCCAGAGGGTGGGATAGGGGGCTGGGCCAGCCCAGTGCTGGCCCCAGCAGCCTTACCCGAGGTCCTGGGGCTGCAGCAGCAGTGATCCTGCTACTCAGTGCCTGGCTGGCAGCCAGTGTGTGGCTCCAGGAGGCTAGGCTCTGGTTTTGAGCAGCGCGTGCTGCTCCTGTGTGCACCAGTCCACTTTCTTTTTGTGCAGGATTTTTTTTAACTCACCTCCAGTCTCACCTCCATCCTTGGCAAAGTCTTTGAGTCAGTCTCACCTCCATCCTTGGCAAAGTCTTTGAAAAAATTATCAAGGCTCACATATGCGAGAGCCCGGCAGGACAAATTATGCTGAGGGGAAACCAGCACGGGTTTGTGGCAGGCAGATTGTGCCTGACCAATCTAGTATCTTTTTATGACCCAGTTATGAAACGCCTGGACACAGGAGGAGGGGTGGATGTCGTATACTTAGACTTCAGGAAGGCCTTCGATATGGTATCCCACCCCAAACTGGTGAATAAGTTAAGAGGCTGTGACTTGGATGACTACACAGTCCGGTGGGTGGCGAATTGGCTGGAGGGTCGCACCCAGAGAGTCATGGTGGATGGGTCGGCTTCGACCTGGAAGGGTGTGGGCAGTGGGGTCCCGCAGGGCTCGGTCCTTGGACTGATACTCTTTAATGTCTTCATCAGCGACTTGGACGAGGGAGTGAAATGTACTCTGTCCAAGTT